AAGCGTTTAGTTGGATCAGGAGCAGAAAGTACAGGTGATTTAACGAGCGCCGTCTTGAGCTGTTGGAAGGCCTGTTCACACTCTGGGGCCCATACTACTATCATGGGGAGGTTTTTACGCGTTCCTATATGGCACTTGCTGGGCTTTAGGGTCAGTCCGGCCTCCCTAATCCGGTCTAGTACGGCTCCTATGTGGGTCAGGTGTTCAGGCCAGGAGCAGCTAAAATGGCTATATCGCAGGCATACTCCTGAAACCCATCCAGTAGCCGATCTACCATCCTCTGAAAGTTAGCCGGGGCATTCTTCATCCCGAATGGCATGACCTTAAACTGATACAGGCCAAACGAGGTGACAAATTCCGACTTGTGGATGGCGTCCTCGGCTAATGGAATTTGCCAGTACCCCTTGCACAGATCTATTGTGGTGAGGTATTGGCCTCTGGCCATTTTGTCTAGGAGCTCGTCTATCCGGGGCATAGGGTAGGCGTCTGAGGTTGTTTTATCGTTTAGCCTCCGGTAGTCTACAGAGAAACGGGTCGTGCCGTCCCGTTTCGGTACTAGTACTACCGGGGAGGCCCAGGGGCTGTCAGAGTGTTCTATCACCCCTAACTGCATCATTCCCTCAATTTCTTTCCGCATATTTTCTTTAACTGCTTCGGGTATGCGATAGGCGGTTTGGTGAAGGGAGGTCTGGTCTAGGGTTTCAACTTTGTGAGTGGTTAACGGACTGTACCCAGGTAGGTTGGAAAACATAGCCCCCTTGTCCTGGATTAGTCTTTGGACCTGGGTTCGCTCCTGGGGGTCTAACCGTTCTCCTAACTGTACTTCTCCCAGGTCTCCGCTCTGGCCCACTTGGTCTTCAGTGGCAGGTGCACAGATCGCGGTTACCTCTTCCGTGCGCTCGTGGTATGGCTTGAGCATGTTCACATGGAGCATGCGCTTGCCACCCGTGCCTGTGACCGCACCGATCACAAAGGTGGTATCACAAACCTGCTCTACCCCCTTGAATGGGCCTGCTAGGAAGCATGCAGCTTGTCCTTGTGGACAGTGTCAATCATATCTGAAGTCTATGTTGGTTCGCCCGGTTCGCCAGTTCGCGAACATTTGCGGAAGTTCGCGTTCGCCATTCGCGAACCGAAAATTTCGGGTTCGCGACATCACTAATTATGATGACTATTTTAATTTAAAAGGGTAGTTTAAAATGTTTAGAATCTTGATGTGAGTCTCTATTCTGCTCTGTGTCAGTGTGTATCATGATCTCTGAGGATAGGTGTCAATCCATATCTGCCAAGTGACCCTATGTAGGAGGAACAGTCTCTATTCTGCTCTGTGTCAGTGTGTATCAGGGGCTCTGAGGACAGGTGTCAATCCATATCTGCCAAGTGACCCTATGTGGGAGGAACAGTCCCTATTCTGCTCTGTGTCAGTGTGTATCAGGGATCCTTAGGACAGGTGTCAATCCATATCTGCCAAGTGACCCTATGTAGGGGAACAGTCTCTATTCTGCTCTGTGTCAGTGTGTATCATGATCTCTGAGGACAGGTGTCAATCCATATCTGCCAAGTGACCCTATGTAGGAGGAACAGTCTCTATTCTGCTCTGTGTCATTGTGTATCAGTAGGACAGGTGTCAATCCATATCTGCCAAGTGACCCTATGTAGGGGGAACAGTCTATATTCTGCTCTGTGTCAGTGTGTATCATGGTCCTGAGGACAGGTGTCAATCCATATCTGCCAAGTGACCCTATGTAGGAGGAACAGTCTCTATTCTGCTCTGTGTCAGTGTGTATCATGGTCCTGAGGACAGGTGTCAATCCATATCTGCCAAGTGACCCTATGTAGGGGGAACAGTCTCTATTCTGCTCTGTGTCAGTGTGTATCAGGGTCTCTGAGGACAGGTGTCAATCCATATCTGCCAAGTGACCCTATGTAGGAGGAACAGTCTCTATTCTGCTCTGTGTCAGTGTGTATCGTGGTCTCTGAGGACAGGTGTCAATCCATATCTGCCAAGTGACCCTATGTAGGAGGAACAGTCTCTATTCTGCTCTGTGTCAGTGTGTATCAGGGGCTCTGAGGACGGGTGTCAATCCATATCTGCCAAGTGACCCTATGTAGGGGGAACAGTCTCTATTCTGCTCTCTGTCAGTGTGTATCATGGTCTCTGAGGACAGGTGTCAATCCATATCTGCCAAGTGACCCTATGTAGGGGGAACAGTCTCTATTCTGCTCTGTGTCAGTGTGTATCATTTTCTCTGAGGACAGGTTTCAATCCATATCTGCCAAGTGACCCTATGTAGTGGGAACAGTCTCTATTCTGCTCTGTGTCAGTGTGTATCATGGTCTCTGAGGACAGGTGTCAATCCATATCTGCCAAGTGACCCTATGTAGGAGGAACAGTCTCTATTCTGCTCTGTGTCAGTGTGTATCAGGGGCTCTGAGGACAGGTGTCAATCCATCTGCCAAGTGACCCTATGTAGGAGGAACAGTCTCTATTCTGCTCTGTGTCAGTGTGTATCATGGTCTCTGAGGACAGGTGTCAATCCATATCTGCCAAGTGACCCTATGTAGGAGGAACAGTCTCTATTCTGCTCTGTGTCAGTGTGTATCATGGTCTCTGAGGACAGGTGTCAATCCTTATCTGCCAAGTGACCCTATGTAGGAGGAACAGTCTCTATTCTGCTCTGTGTCAGTGTGTATCATGGTCTCTGAGGACAGGTGTCAATCCATATCTGCCAAGTGACCCTATGTAGGAGAACAGTCTCTATTCTGCTCTGTGTCAGTGTGTATCATGGTCTCCGAGGACAGGTGTCAATCCATATCTGCCAAGTGACCCTATGTAGGGGGAACAGTCTCTATTCTGCTCTGTGTCAGTGTGTATTATGGTCTCTGAGGACAGGTGTCAATCCATATCTGCCAAGTGACCCTATGTAGGAGGAACAGTCCCTATTCTGCTCTGTGTCAATGTGTATCAGGGATCCCTAGGACAGGTGTCAATCCATATCTGCCAAGTGACCCTATGTAGGAGAACAGTCTCTATTCTGCTCTGTGTCGGTGTGTATCATGGTCTCTGAGGACAGGTGTCAATCCATATCTGCCAAGTGACCCTATGTAGGGGAAACAGTCTCTATTCTGCTCTGTGTCGGTGTGTATCATGGTCTCTGAGGACAGGTGTCAATCCATATCTGCCAAGTGACCCTATGTAGGGGGAACAGTCTCTATTCTGCTCTGTGTCAGTGTGTATCATGGTCTCTGAGGACAGGTGTCAATCCATATCTGCCAAGTGACCCTATGTAGGGGGAACAGTCTCTATTCTGCTCTGTGTCAGTGTGTATCATTTCTCTGAGGACAGGTGTCAATCCATATCTGCCAAGTGACCCTATGTAGGGGGAACAGTCTCTATTCTGCTCTGTGTCAGTGTGTATCATGGTCTCTGAGGACAGGTGTCAATCCATATTTGCCAAGTGACCCTATGTAGGGGGACCAGTCCCTATTCTGCTCTGTGTCAGTGTGTATCATGGTCTCTGAGGACAGGTGTCAATCCATATCTGCCAAGTGACCCGATGTAGGGGGACAGTCCCTATTCTGCTCTGTGTCAGTGTGTATCAGGGATCCTTAGGACAGGTGTCAATCCATATCTGCCAAGTGACCCTATGTAGGAGAAACAGTCCCTATTCTGCTCTGTGTCAGTGTGTATCAGGGGCTCTGAGGACAGGTGTCAATCCATATCTGCCAAGTGACCTATGTAGGAGGAACAGTCCCTATTCTGCTCTGTGTCAGTGTGTATCATGGTCTCTGAGGACAGGTGTCAATCCATATCTGCCAAGTGACCCTATGTAGGGGAACAGTCCCTATTCTGCTCTGTGTCAGTGTGTATCAGGGTCTCTTAGGACAGGTGTCAATCCATATCTGCCAAGTGACCCTATGTAGGGGGAACAGTCTCTATTCTGCTCTGTGTCAGTGTGTATCATGGTCTCTGAGGACAGGTGTCAATCCATATCTGCCAAGTGACCCTACGTAGGGGGAACAGTCTCTATTCTGCTCTGTGTCAGTGTGTTTCATGGTCTCTGAGGACAGGTGTCAATCCATATCTGCCAAGTGACCCTATGTAGGGGGACCAGTCTCTATTCTGCTCTGTGTCAGTGTGTATCAGGGATCCTGAAGATAGGTGTCAATCCATATCTGCCAAGTGACCCTATGTAGTGGGAACAGTCCCTGTTCTGCTCTGTGTCAGTGTGTATCAGGGTCTCTGAGGACAGGTGTCAATCCATATGTCAAGGTGTCAATATGTCATATGTCAGGTGTCAATCCATATCCATTGTGATTTAGGAATGTTAGGTGATTTCTGCCCTTTATGGATTAAGACCAGACTCTGCATCAACTGTGTAATTTTCCATGGGAGTTTTGCCATGGATCCCCCTCCGGCATGCCACAGTCCAGGTGTTAGTCCCCTTGAAACAACTTTTCCATCACTATTGTGGCCAGAAGGAGTCCCTGTGTGTTTTAAAATTCGCCTGCCCATTGAAGTCTATAGCGGTTCGCCTGGTTCGCGAACATTTGCGGAAGTTCGCGTTCGCTGTTCGCGAACCGAAAATTTAGGGTTCGCGACATCACTAATTATGATGACTATTTTAATTTAAAAGGGTAGTTTAAAATGTTTAGAATCTTGATCTGAGTTATGTAGAAGGGTAAGAACGAATATTTAAAATTAAAGATCAACATTAGTACAATATGTTTTAATTCTCAGGCAAAATAAAAGGATTTAAAGTGCAGGGCAGAAACAAATTTTATTTCAGCATTAATTAAACACCATTTAATTACAACTCAATTTATAACAAAATGGTTTCAAATTTGCAAATAATAAGTGGATGAAAAGATCATTTGAATCACACTGGTGCCAAGATGTTTTTTTTTTCAAAGAAATATAGGATTTTTACAACTGTGGTACAAGATTGGTAAATAAAAGTAAAAATATTTACCTGAAGCTAATGGACAAAACCTATTCTTTAAAATTTCCAGTCATTTTTTTTAAATTTTCCACCAAAACGGTCTGCATTTTGCATCCCAAACTCACCCATTTGGAACATCCCATTACCATCTAGTGACATGCCCCCTTCCATGAAGCCATCCATGTCCATTTTTCCCAAACTGCTCCCCATATTACCAGAAGACCACTGTTGTCCAAAATCACTAACTGTATTGCCAAAACTCCACTTTCCACCATCTGAAAAGCCACCTCCAGTAAAACCAGGTGTTCCTTGTGTGCCTAATTCACTTCCTGAGAAGCCCCCCTTACCCATGTTGCCTGAAGTCCATTGCTTTTCAAAATCAACATTAAAGTCACCTCCTGAGACAATACCACCCATATTTCCAAAATCCATTACTGGTATTCCTCCTTCTATATTACCAGAATAAACTTGGAAGTTTCCTGAATCTACATTGAAATCTCCTCCTGATGCTCCTCCTTCCATATTGCCAGAAGTCCACTCTTGTCCAAAATCACCACCAAACATTCCCCCTTCCATGTTGCCAGAAGTCCACGACTGTTCAAAATCAACATTAAAGTCCCCTCCTGAGATAACACCTTCAATATTTCCAAAATCTATTACTGGTATTCCTCCTTCTATATTACCGGAAAAAACTGGGAAGTTTCCAGGATCTACATAGAGATCTCCTCCTGATGCTCCTCCTTCCATATTGCCAGAAGTCCACTCTTGTCCAATATCTACTTTGTAGTCACCCCCAAAATCTACATTATAATCACCACCAAACATTCCCCCTTCCACATTGCCAGAAGTCCACGACTGTTCAAAATCAACATTAAAGTCCCTCCCTGAGATAACACCTTCAATATTTCCAAAATCTATTACTGGTATTCCTCCTTCTATATTACCGGAAAAAAATGGGAAGTTTCCAGGATCTACATAGAGATCTCCTCCTGATGCTCCTCCTTCCATATTGCCAGAAGTCCACTCTTGTCCAAAATCTACTTTGTAGTCACCCCCAAAATCTACATTAAAATCACCACCAAACATGCCTCCTTCCATATTACCAGAAGTCCACTGTTGTCCAAAATCTACGTTATAGTCACCTCCAACACCCTCAAAATCTTCATTGAAGTCACCTCCCGAGATGCCTCCTTCCATATTCTCAGAAGTCCATTGTTGCACAAAATCAAGTTTGTAGTCACCCCCCATGCTTCCCTGATCTACATTGAAACCGCCTATTGAGAAATCCCCACCTAATAAACCCTGTGAAGGTTCAACATCTTTATTAAATTCAGTGATACCAATGGAACTAGATAAGCCTTCGGATATCTCATCAAGTGCTTTAAGATCAGAATCTGGTATGTCTGTTTGGACAAATCCAGGCAAAAAGTCCTTAGTACTTGGTATTTCAGCATTTGACCAATCAAAATCAATGTCATTACTTGCCAAGTCTGTTTGCGGTATATAACCATCAAATGTTGATAAATCTATTTGTTTCGAACTGATATCATTGTCATACCCTGAGAAATCTATTTCTGGTATACGTAGATCAAAATCTGAAATGTCTGCTTTTGGCAAATCATAATCAATATAATTTTTTGGTAAGTCTATTTGCAGTTTATCTATATCAAATATTGGCGTGTCTATTTGGGGAAAATCTATATTGGTAACACTTTCTGAAAAGTCTATTTGTGGAAAATTTAAATCAAAGCCACTTGCTGATAAGTCTAGTTCTGGAAAAGCAAAATCAGCCCCAAAGAAATCTATTTGTGGCATATTCAGATCATAATCAAATCCTGGTACGCCTGGTTGTAGTATATCTAGACCAAAATCGAAATCTATTAAGTCTGTTTGTGGAAAACCGTAATCACTGCCAAATCCTGGATATTCTTCTTGTGGAAAACCAAAATCATTGCCATATCCTATGTCTGAAATCTGATCTTCGTAACCTTCTGGGCTTGCATCACCTCCTCCTCCAAGCAGACCTCCCCCGAGCATGTCAAGGGGAATAAGACCTGTATTCAAAGGCAAAGAACATTTAGCTATTTCCTGTTTCAAAATCTTCAGGGATACTAATTAAATACATTGATCAGCCACAATATTAAACCACTGACAAGTGAAGTGAGTACAATTGATTATATCTTTACAGTGGCACCTGTCAAGGAAGCAGGAAAAATGGGCAAGCAAAAAGATCTGAGTAACTTTGAAAAGGACAAAATAGTGATGGATAGATGACTGTGTCAAAGCATCTCCACAATAGCAAGCCTTGTGGGGTGTTCCCAGTATGTAGTAGTTCGTACCTAAAAGGAAAGACAACCAATGAACCGGTGTCAGGGTCATGGGCACCCAAGGTTCACTAATGCGTGTAAGGAGCGAAGTATAACCTGTCTGGGTGATCACACAGAAGAGTTACTGTAGATTAAACTGCTGAAAAGCTGAATGCTGGCCTTGATAGAAAGGTGTCACAGTGCATCACCATTTGCGGTGTATGGGGCCTACATAGCCGCAGATCAGTCAGAGTGTCCATGATATCCCCTGTCCACTCATAAAAGTGCGTTTAAATGGGGGACAAAACTATCAAAACTGGACCATGGAGCAATGAAAGAAGGTTGCTTGGCCTGATGAAGAGCATTTTCTTTTAGATAAGGTGGATGGACAGGTGCATGTACCATGGGGATGTACTATGAGAAGAAGGTAGGCCGGTTAAGGCAGTGTTATGCTCTTGGCAATGTTCTGCTTTGAAACCTTGGATCCTGGCATTTATGTGGATGCTACTTTGACATGAACCAACTACCTAGAGATTGTTGCAGACCAGACCACATATACCCCTTCATGGCAATGGTGTTCCATAATGCCATTTTCAGCAGTATAATGTATCTAGCCAAAATGCAAAAAATATCCAGTAATGGTTTCGAGAAACATGACAAAGAGTTCAAAGTGTTGCCTTGGCCTACAAATTTCCCAAATCTCAATATGATTGGGTATTTGTGGGATGTGCTGGAACAACAAATCCGAACCATGGAGTCCCCACAGCGCAACTGGGAGGACCTAAAAGATCTGCTGCTAATGTCTTGATGCCAGATACCATAAGATGCTTTTTCAGAGGTCTTGTTGAGTCCAATCCATAATGCATCAGAAATTTATGATATTAAGCAGGTGGTTTTAATGTTGTGGCTAATCAGTGTATGTACCTAAGAATTCTAATTGTTTGGATTGTTTGAAGTGATATTTTTTAGTATTGTAAAAAATACAGAGATAACTTTTTTGTTGTAGCACGATAAGAACACAAAGCAAAAACTTACTAGTAGCCAAGCCAACAGCAGTGTCAAGTAGGCCAAGAGCAATGTCAAACACAGGACACACCTATTAAAGCAATCACAAAACAAAGTTATAGATATTTATATTCTTTAGTACCAAGATTCTGAAATTACCAAATACAGAAATATTTGTTGATCAATTCTGATAAAAATCTAATTATCAGAGAGGATCTCTTTTATTAGTGAAAAAAGAAGACAAATGTAATGTTATAAAGATCTTTTTGCAAGTGGGGACTGTTTTCACACAGACATTTAAATATATACATATATATATATAAACACACACACATATACATTCATACACACACAAACACACACGTGGCGGTTTTCTTAGTTAAGTACTGGTACATACAAGCGTCAGCTTAGAAGAATTAGATTTTTAGAAATTAATCAAATTTAACTAAACTGGACAAAAATATATTGAATTCTGCAGAGTTGAATAAAGTGAGAATTCAGTGAATTCCAAATTTAAGGTCAAAATAGCCAAAACAGAAACATTCTCTGTCAACTATGGCTACTTTGTCCTTAAATTTGGAATTCACTCAAAATTCACCTTGAATTAATCATGTTTGTCCAGCTTTGCTTGGGTCTACAATTTGAAAACCTATTATCATCGCAACATAACCCATGCTGGAACCCATCCTGTCTATCCTATGCAGGATGATGTGGACTATATCTATATTTTAAAAAGCATATGAGTATTTCAGTACTTCTTATTAAGAGCTTAGAGCGGTGGTTCTTGACCTTTTTCACTGGGTTCCAAAATATGTACATGGCACTAGCTTAGCAAAAGATTCTTAAATTGCAATATAGTCTATAGCAAAACAAACTGAACAAGAAAAGGTAGTCGTCCAATGGTTTGTCTATGGCCAGACTAGCACAGCATAAAATGTGAATACATACTAGTCCAGGTGCAACCCCTTGAAGAATTCCCTCGGCTATATCGAGCACCCTGGGGAGATGAAGATTATGTTTTGATTAATGGATGGAATGGAAGGGTCAAAATAGAAATTTCAGTTTAATAATAACATAAAACTATTGATTTGTCTGTGTAATTGTATCTGTGCTGATTTTCTTTGTATAAAAACTTGATTCTTAAATGAAATGTTAGCATTTATGGTTTAAATCACATGACATTTTGCACCCAATGAAACAGTAATAACAAATGCCTGCATTTTGTCTCATTTGATTTTTTTATAAAAGTACTGAAAGAATGTGCGTGATTTATTATTTATTAGCACTCCAGCAGTTCCTGCTAAAAACTTTTGTTCTCAAGCACTCTAGAACATTTCTTACACTAGAACTCTAAAAGTCTTCTAACCCTAGCACCCAGAACATGTTTTACTATAGCACTCATGAACATGTTTTAGCCTAGAACCCTACATCATGTTTCGCCAAAACTCTCTAGAAAATGTTTACCCTAGCACCCTAGGACATATCTTATGCAGCACCCTGGAACATTTCTAGAACATTTGTTATCCTAGCACCCAAAGACATTTTTTATCTGGCACTCTAGAAAAGGTCATCCTAGAAGTAAAACATTTCTTACAACAGTGCCCATGCACATTTCTGACCCTAGCAAACAAGACTATTGCATACCCTAAAACCAAAGACTATTTCTCATTCTAGCAACCTAGACTATTTCCAGAATATTTCTTACCCCAGCTTAGTTTTCAGTACTCAAGAATATTTTTTATTCTAGAATATTAGAAGGTTCCTTATGCTATCACCATAGAACATTCCTTATCCTAGCATCCTAAAACATTTCTTTTTCTGTCACCTAGGAATGTGTCTCCTTCTAGCAACCTAGAAGGTTTATCTTCATTAAAAGTAATCCATGTATACTTACATTAAACCTTTAATGCTGATGCCAGTAAAAACATTATTGCATGAGTCCACTACTAAAGATGGTACTCCGTTGACTTCTTCAATCTTGATTATTATGGTCACATTAACTTCCAAACAAGCACCCAGGAGGCCGCTTACAAGGCTAAATAAGAAATATAATTATTTAATAAATATAAAAATAGCAATGGTGATTAATATGTTGCACAACGATGTATAGGTTTGTTTTACCGAAGGACTACACATTTAAACATTTAAACAACATCATATGGAGGTTAATAAACAGGACAATATAGAGGTAAATGCAAGTCAAAATAACTTTACATTTTATTAAACATTAGATTATAGTTTATATGTCACAAGATATGACTAAAACATTGTTAAAAGGACGCATGACTGTGTCTGGACAATGAAACTCTAGAACTATGGATGTCCTGTTAAGTTGGGAATATTCTGAAATGCATTTGCTGGCTGATCTGATATATGTGTGCATAGAGACCTTAATTTAATTAGCTTGAATCAAAAATAATTCCAGAAAAAAAAAAAAAAAATTTCAAATGATTTATCTAGAGAGGTTGTCATTAAAGGAACACTATTTTTAATTGCCTTACGGACATTGGATGTGCTCACAGTTTGCATGAGGACATCCAGTATTAGCTAATTTTTTTTCATATGGGGATATCCTAACAAGCGCATTAGGTCCCTGACATCAGCCTAGATGAGCTGAAACAGAGCCTGACCAACAAACCAAGTGGCATCAGCCCTGGATGTTTTTTAACCTCTTGCTTTCTTCTAAAGAAGTCTACTCTCTCTTCCAGCTCTGTCACACTCCCACCTTGCATGACTGCTATCCCCCTGTCCCACTGTGTTTTATACCTCACCTCCTCTAGACTCTAAGCTCGTTTGAACAGGGTTCTCCTCACCCTATTGTTTCTGTAGGTTTTTGTAATTGTCTCACTTAATGTTAAATCTCCCCCTCCTATAATATTGTAAAGCGCTACGGAATTTGTTAGTGCTATGTAAATACCAATAATAATAACCCTTTCTGCGTAGTTTGAGGGGGGCACTCTAGTGCTAGGAATGCAACTTTGTATTCCAAGCACCCTAGCTTCCCTTTAAGGTATATGGAATTTATGTAGATAAATCACTTGGAAAAGCTTTTTTTCAAACAGACTGGAATAATTTCTGATTTAGACAAATTGAATCAAGGCCTTAATGTGAATTCAATAAAAGAACGTGGATCAAATATTATTTTTTTGGAAGAACTCCTTCGATTTTAGTTATCATGCTCTACTCTACCAGGGTTCGGAATGCCATTCCTGAACTGGAATAAATGTTCCACTTTTACAAGTTGTCAAAGAGCAGTAGCAGTATCATACTTGCATATTGTGAGTACTGTTATCTAAAGGGATACTGTAAGTACTACAACCAGTTCATTTAATCTAATTGAATGCTTGTGCTTGCCACTGTGCCTCTATTCCATGTTAAACCAAACCAATTCATAGCTTCAGCGGGCACCATGATAGGTAAAAAGTGATCAGCAGATAATCTCAGCCAATCACAGTAGCCCATTGCTGCTTTGGCTAATACTTGCTCTTTAGCACAAACAGCGCAGTGGGGATGGGTTGCTGGGGACTCTTGTATAATAAAAATAATAATAATAATAATAATAATAAAAAATGCAAAGTGCTGAATTGAAGGCTGGTACTAAAGAACTCCAGACACTATAACCCTTTTAATGAGATGAAGCATTTACAGTGCCAATAGGGTCCCTTTAATCAGTGACTGCCATTATGTATTAACATAACGGCACACATACTGGTAACTGGCAAGCTG